TTTTTTTTTTCGACCTGCGGCCCAGCTGCACGATTAGAAAGGCCGGTTTGGTGGCCGGCGTGTGAACCCTTGGAAGATGCATTTCGTTGAACCCGGTGGCGGAAATGCGATCTGAACCTCATCTACCCCACATCTTCACTTTGTCTCGCTGGATCACATCGCCTCAAGCTCGACTTCTCTGCCTCAGGGAGAAGCAACTCGCCTAGCCATCGCCACCATTCACCGTCTCAGTTCACGCCTCGGTGAAGTTGCCTCGGCCTTCATGTCAGTCACTAGGTCGTCGTCGCGGCGCAAGCTCTTTGCGCCCAGCCCGCTTGTCTCGGGCAGGTCGGTGGCCGTCGCTGCCCATTCCGCCACTGTTGTCACGGCCAACGGCCACTCGGTCGCCCAAGTTACAGGTGGTGCTTCGGTCGAAGAGGATGCGGCGATGGCTACAGCGATCGCGGTCGAGGAGTCTCGCCGCTCCTACTCCCTCCGTCGCCGAAGCGCCGCTCCCCTCGCTTCTCCGTCCACCCCAAAAGCATCGCCTTCCTCCTCTGCTGCAAAGGCGCCGCAGCAGACGCGATCCATGCGCACGTCCGCGAAACGGTCACGAGCCCAATCGCCCTCTAGTGAGTCGGACAACTACGCCTCCGGCTCCGACTTTTCAGACGATGGCGCACACTCCTCGGACCACGACAGCGATGTTTTTACCGACCAGAAGACCAACAAGTCCACGCCCAAGGCCAAGCGCGTAGCCAAAGCCTCGTCCAAGTCTGCGGTCAAAGAAGAGACCGGGTCTAAGCCCCTTTCGCGTTCCAAGTCCAAGTCGGCGTCGCCGTCCAAGCCGAAGAAAGCGGCCGTATCGCCATTCGACGTGTCTCCGCGCAAGGCCACCAAGAAGCCTCTCAAGGTCGATCTCGAGCCGCACGAGGCGCATCCTGCGCCAGCTCAGTGGGAGAAGGTGTACGAGCTGCTGACCAAGCAGCGGGCGCGCATCGTCGCACCCGTCGACACCATGGGCTGCGAGGAAAACGGCCGCTCGGATCGCCGTGCCGACTCGTGGCGCGAGAGCGAGTCGTCCGAAGATGCCGCCAAGCGCGAACGCCTCGCGACGCTCGTCTCGCTCATGCTCTCGTCCCAGACCAAGGATCCCGTCACAGCCGAAGCCGTTTACAACCTCCAGCGCAACCTTCCCAATGGCCTGTGTCTGCAGTCGCTGCTCGACGCCGACGACGACGCTATCTCGAGCTGCATCGCCAAAGTCGGCTTCTGGCGTCGCAAGACCGGCTACCTCAAGTCCGCAGCGCGCATCCTTGCCGCCGACTTTGATGGTGACGTGCCCCGCACCGTCGATGAGCTGTGCAGTCTGCCCGGTGTGGGGCCAAAGATGGCCTTTTTGGCGCTCAGTTCGATGGGCATTCAGGTGGGGATTGGAGTCGACACGCACGTGCATCGCATGACCAACCGGCTTGGATGGCACGATACAAAGACGCCCGAACAGACGCGCTTGAATCTGCAGTCGTGGCTGCCGCGTGAGCTGCACCCGCACATCAACCGGCTTCTCGTTGGATTCGGCCAGGTCATCTGCGTCCCTACAGGCCCTCGATGCGACTTGTGCAACGTAGGCAGCGCAGGTCTTTGCCCGAGCTACCGTCCCATCGACCCAAAGGCGGCCGAAAAGCGCGTCAAAGTCACCCTCTTAGCAGACGGCGAAATCCACCCGGCCCCACTCATCTCGCCCTTCAAACAGGAAGAGCAACCGGCGGTCAAGGTCGAAATCGACAACTCGACGCCCATGCACATCGCCGACCTCACCAGCGACATTGCAGTCAAGACCGAACCGGACGCTGATGCTCATGATGCTGCCGCAGTCGCAAAGGCGCTCGAATGGTAGCTGCACACTGGATCGCATTCAATCCGTCTTGATCTTACACCTGCACCCGTGCGCTAGCTGAGTGTGCTTCCATCACAATGCCCGCCGCGACGGTTTCGCCGTTCATGCGCATGAGCACGCGCGCCATCTCCTTGTTGCTCTTGGCATCTTCGATGGGGATGCCGCTGCTCTGGCCCGCTGCTCCGCCCGCCTTGACCGCCACGCGCACGATGGCCGTGGAGCCTTTGGTGAGCACACGCGGCTTGGCCTTGGCGACTGCGCCCGTCGTCTTGTCCAGGATGGCTACGAGCTCGGTGAGTGTGGCGGGGATGTTGGCGCTGTGGTGGAAGAGCTCGATGCTCGTGCCCGCCACGAGCGGGTACGTGGGCTCAAAAACGAGCACCTGCGCCGTGAACGAGTCGCACAGCGCAATCGGCTGCGACGACGAGCACAGCACCGCACCAACCGCGATCTGGATCTGGTCAATTCCGCTGAGGTATACGGTCGCATTGGCTCCCGCCACCGCCCACGGAACCGCCTCGGAGTCGACCTCGATCGCGCGCACCATGCCCGACTCGTCGCCGGGCACCGGTCGCAGTCGGTCGCCAATCTGCACGATTCCAGATACGACTCGGCCCGACACGCCCACGCCCGACGCGATCGCCGTCTGGCCTTTGAACACGTTGGTCACGGGCAGGCGCAGCGGTCCATCCAGCAGCCGCGCGGGCGGCTCGAGCTTGTCGAGCACCTCGACGAGTGTCGGTCCGTCGTACCACTTTGACAGATCGCCGCCCTCCTCCCTCACCGCCAGATTCTCGCCCACCGATCCGCCGCACGGCACGAACCGGAGCTTGGCCGCATCGAATCCACACGAGGTGAGGAACGGCTTGACCTTGGTCACGATCTCGTTGTAGCGCTCCTGGCTGTACCCGACCGCGTCGAGCTTGTTGACGACGACGACGAGCTGCTGGACGCCCAAGCTGCGCACCAGCAGCGCATGCTCGCGCGTCTGACCGTTGGGGCCGAATCCGGCCTCAAAGGCGCCCAGGATCGAGTCGACGACGAGCAGCGCCGAATCCGCTTGCGCCGCACCCGAGATCATGTTGGGGATAAAGTCGCGGTGCCCGGGCGCATCGAGCAGCGTAAACGTGCGGTGCGTCGTGGAAAAATGGTCTTGCGCCACATCAATCGTCACGCCACGCTCGCGTTCTTCCTCGGAAGAGTCGAGCGCCCATGCGTACGCAAAGCTGCCCTTGCCGATCTTCTGCGACGCACGCTCGTTGCTCGAGTACTCACGCTGCGACAACGACCCGAGCTCCAGCAGCATGCGTCCCATCAACGTCGACTTGCCCGCATCCACATGGCCGACGACCACCAGGCTCAGCTCCGCCTTGCCCTCCCTTTCGCGCCGCCGGTACTCGTCGATGATGCGCTCGTGCGCGATGCCAACAGGCGTTGTGACGGCGCTCTGGATAGCGCTGCTTGCCGAGCCTGCGGACGAGGCCGCTTTGCTGCCCGCGTGGATGCCGAGCGACTCGATCTCGTTGCGCAGCTGGCTCACACTCGTACCGCCCTGCTTGGCGCCGCCGGATGCGGCCGCTTTGGCGGCCTGCCCCACCGCTGCTTTGCGGTGCAATGGCGTCGACGTTCCGGACGCCGGCGTTGACGCACTTGCTGCTGCTTTCTTCGCAGCTGTCGAGGATGAATGCAGTATGATAGGTGCGGAATGTTGCGTCAGTTTTGTCATGCGAGAGCTATGAATGGGTTTTGAATGGGGTCGCTTCATTTGGCACCAAGCCGTGTGCCTTCGCGGGCCTTCATCACGACGTCATCAGGGCTCGGTCCAGCAAACGCCTTCCTGACGAGCTCGATCTGTGGCGACGCATCATCCGCCGCGGCGTGGCTATAGATGGCAAACGGCGATCCGCCAGGTACAGGCTTGAGCCGCTCTAGTGGCGCCACAAGCTGGTCCGTTGCGTCCTTCGCTGACCCGGCGATGGCACTGACGGGCGCCATGAACGCGCGGGACGTCTCGCGCCCATCCGAGTGCGCGCCGGAAGCGGATGGCTCGGTAGGGAACAGGGACGAGATGGGCAGATCCGAGCCATAGCACGTCTGCGGGCGAGCCTGGGCTTCCTCTTCTGCAGCTGCCGCTGCCGCCGCCTCGATTGCTTCTGGCGTTGCCGCCTCACGCTGCTGACGGTTGGCCGCCATACGCTGCTGCAGCTTCGAAAGCGGCTTGGGAGCCGTCTCTGTCGGGACAGCTTCGACCGCCTTCTGCGATTGCACGGGCGCTGGTTTGACGCCCGACGACGCCGAAGCATTGCGCGCGGCTGCAAGGGCGGCGAGCTTGCTGGGGCGGCTAGTGCCAGCCACAGGGGCAGGATTTGAAGCAGAGGAAGCGCTCGGAGCCGGTGATGCAGGGCGCGGCCGTTCTGCAGCATTCGCGGGAGGAGCTTCGGCTGGGCGCTTGGCGCTAGAGCGTGCTGCCAACGCCGAGAGTTTGGACAGCGGCTTCTGCGGAGCTGAGGCAGCTGGAGGCTGCGCATCTCGCACAAAATCCGGTGCCAACCCGGCGAGGTTGCGCTTGGCCATGCCGGATCGACCGCCGGTCGCGAGCCCTCGAAGTCCCTGGGCGCGTCCTCTTGACATGCCGCGTCCTGCACGGATCTCAGCTCTTCGATCCCTCTGCAATGACAGCGCCTTGAAAGCCTCAACGGTTGCACCATCGTCGTCAGGCAGCGCGGAGGCGCCTGCTGTGCGGCGCGATCGCAAGGATGAGCAAAGTACGCGGGTGACAAGGGGTTCAGATCTTTGTCCTATCCTTGGCCTTCCGGTCGCCTGCAGCTAAGAGGCATCACCAGCTCGGCGCGTCGCTTCCGCACAGCAGGAAGGCAGCGTTCCAACGCGGGTCCGCCTGCATGGGAGTTCAAGAGAATCGAGGTCTGAGGAAGGACAGCACCGAGCCGAGCGAGCTTGGGACTTACCTTGTTTTTGACGCTCGCGTTCGGCCTTGGCTTCGCGCCTGCTCTTTTCTTCGACGAGCTGTGTGACTGCGGTGTCGACGTCAAAGTAGGCGTCCCACAGGACGTCTTTGATCTCGCGCTCCGTGAACCCGTTGGTGCTCGTGGGTCCAAGCACGTCGAGCGTTTGCGAATATGCCTCGATCATCGCATCATTGTCCTCTGGCGAGAGATTCTCTGCGGTGCGAGATGCATGGCCTGGGTCAGTTCCGCGTTTCTCATTTCGGCAAGGTCCATTTGCGACTGCGCTACCCACCATAGGGATCCTCGTCGTAGTAGTCGTCTTCTGCGAGCTCCTCGTCGAGATCGAGATTGCGCACGGCGCGGTGTCGTGACATGTTGTGTAGAGAAGCTGCGGAGAACTCCCAGCCGGGTCTGATAGGGAATGGTGCTTGGTGGAAGGGAAGATGGTGCAGCTTAGCGCGGGAACAGCAGCAGACCGTGTGCGACTGTCGGGTGACGTTATGCGGGCTCTCGCGCTTTGGCCTTCCACTGCTCAGCGAACAAAAATGCTGCGATTCCCATCTAAGCTCGTTCAGGGCGATCCAGCCCTACGAAGTGGATTTCCAAGCCTTCTTCTCCACATCGATCCACCGATCTCACATCTTTTTCATCCGCTCGACCCTTCCATGCTCTCAACCCTTTTCACATTAGCAGACAGCGCTTGCTCACCCGTAGTCTTGAGCGATATGGTACTGGCATTTCTGTCGCATCAAAAGCTTTTGTACCTTGTTGTGCAGGCTCACTTGGTCTCTGAGAGGAACTTCTCGAGCACTGCTGCCTCCTTTTCTTCCTGCTCTGCGAGGTCCTCGCGCGGCGGTTTGGCAGCACGGAACTGCTTGGCGGTATCTTGACGACGCTTGATGGCCTTTGTGACGAGCTTCGAAACCTTGGACACCTGGTTGCCCTTCTGCTTGGATGAGTACTGGTGCTCGGACACGATGGAGCGCAGCACCGTCGACGTGAGCGAGTCCTTGGCCTTCATCGCCTCCTTGATGCCGGATTTGACCTTGGCCAGCAGCGCCGCCTCTGCATCCTCGCCCGCAGCTGGCGCCTCAGTCGATGCGAATCGGATGCATACTGGTACCGTCGCTGCGAAGCACCGTCAATGCAAGTGTCAGCTCTTGCCATCCGTCGGGAATGCTTTGGTGTGTGGATCCACTTACCTAGGGGGTGGCTGGAACGTAGCGTTGAAGCCTCAATCGAACGTGGCAGCTGCGAACGCAGTGCGTGGCTGTTTCGGAGCGCTTGTCGTAGCAACATGTTGATGGCGTTCTCGTCGAAAGCAGAAGGTGGTCGAAGGTTGGAGCCAACGTTTTGAAATGCTGCCCTCCACTCCGTGACTGTCCGAAACCCTTCTTTTTTCGCGCCCTATTTCATCCGCGGAAATTTGGGCTTTTGTTCGTTCACGTCCGAGATCCTGCCCAACACCCTTTTGGTCTTAGCCGGGTCTTCCCACAAGGACGCGATCGCGCCAGGTCAGCAGTTCACATTGACATCGTAACCTTGCTCAATCGTCCAGCACTCACTATCAATTAGAACGGGCTTGGCAGCTTTAGGTGACCCGTGATCAGGAATAGTCTCGACGATTTTGGGTCGCTCATCAGGAACGGTCTCGATGGAGATCTTGACGTTCTTGCGTTCGAAGACTCGCCCTTTGTAGCCGCCCATGTCCGTGTAGGCTACCTCCTCGGCGGTCAGCTCGCGAAGGTACACCTGATCCTTCGGTAAATCCTTGCGTTGGTTTGCAGAGATATCTTCCAGCTTGGCGAGGGTCATCCACTCGCGACTGCTGATGGCCGGCATTTCTAACTTTGAGATAGGTGATGGTGGAAGGTTGAGGTGGTGGTCGTGTTCGATCTCGCGATGCTGTGGTGGTGAGGGTGGTGATGAAGGTCTCACGGCTGCTCCCGCTCATTCTTATAGCCTGCACGAGCTGACTCCAAGAGTGCGGAACAAGTGCGGAACAAGTGCGGA